ATGATAAATGCACAGACAAAATCCTCACCTGTGAAAAAGCAGTCAATTAATGAGGTGAGTAACTTATGCGACAGATATGCGATCAAATTCCGAATAGTCGTAAAATTTCCATGACGATATGGCCCTGCGAAAAAATGGCGCGTTATCGTTAATTAAATTATACTTTATTCGATTTTGTTATGCGATTCTTCACTATGCGAGCAAAAAAATGTCGCATCATTGTCAATTATCCGGCGGATATATGCGAAAGTTTTTCGCATACCAGTAAATTATGTGATTGACTTGGATATGCAATTTTCAGAAAATGCGAATTCAACAAATAATGCGAATTATATGCGAAAAGTTTTCGCACAGTCATAAATTTTCAAGGTCGATATAGCCCTGCGAAATAAGGCGCATAATCATCGTAAATTATGCTGCATTCAATTTTGATATGCGATTCTTAAAACTGCGAAAGATGTTCGCATATTTGTAAATTATGCGTTTGATGTGGATATGTGATTACAAATATGCGAAATGTTTTCGCATAGTCATAAATTATGAGCCCGCTTGGATATGCGCTGGTTCATTTGGACATGCGACTGTAATATCGCATAGCATTTCGTGAGTTTTGGGGGTGTAAAAGATGTTATTTGATGGGGTGGTATGTAAAAGAAAGAATAGATTTATAATGGGGTGAAAAAGATTTTGACCCTAAAAACAATACCAAAAAATGTGTAGGTTGTTATAAGTTGAGTTGTGTAAGTGGAGGCAAGAGAAATAATTTTTTATTATTGGGTTGGGTTGACTAAGGTTGGGTTGTAGATAAATATAGTCTAAAGCCATGTTTTAAATACCGTACCGTACCGGCCGGTAATATCGGATACCGGCCATTGGTACGGTACAAATACACTAAAAATACCGGATTTACGGTTATACCGGTTTGTACCGGGATCATACCGTAAAAACCGCAAAATACCGGTCCAAAATAATGGTTAATTAAAAAAATAAAAAAAATAAAATTTTTTAATTTAAAAAAAAAATAAAATTTAAATTGGTAGTTAAAATATTTTATTTTTATCTCATTGAAAAGTTGAAATTAATGATTATGGTCATTTATTTTTTTACTTTAGTGCATTTGGTATTAAATATTTGTATGTATATTTATATTTATTATTATATTTGCTAATCCAGTAATACCACCGATATTACCGGTCCGACCGGTAATACCGCATACCAGTGGCTAGACCGGTATGACCACCGGTACGATAGTTAAAACACTGGTTTAAAGTGATGATTTGTTAAAATTATGTTAGTTGATGAATAGTGAATTAAAAAAATTGATATGATGTGTAAAAATGATTAACTAATATTATCTAATTATATTTATAATAATTATGATGTAGAGTACGATTACAATTGAGTTAGATTTGAATATAAATTGAGTATGTTAAATATATATATAAGTATTATTATTTTAAACTAATAATTGTTTCCCGCAAAAAAAAAATCCTATTTACTACATCTGGAAATAAATTAATCAATACATTGTATAAAGTAGGCAGATTTATTTTTGGTATTTGATGTTGTTTCTATGGAAAAAATCTTAATTAACATATAGTAGAAAGTGGACAAATTAATATTTGGTATGGTATGGGTGTTTCTATGGGAAATAAATTAATCAATATATGCTATAAAGTGTGTGAATTAGGTCAGATCAATGATGTCACTATAATTAAGAAGCCACCCATGAAGTTGCGTACGATTCAAATAATTGAACAGTAATTTGAGGATGAATGCAAGAATTACAAGGAAATTCTATTTCACTCTAAAGACTTTCGACAAAGGGGAGTTGTCAGGATATTGTGAATGCTGCAATTAATTCTTCCGACATGTGGGATGATTGTACTGTGTTGAGGCTTACAAAAAAGAAGCGCTTTCAGAGCATTGGTGATTTAGATTAATGCGAGGAGCTGACTGCTTTTACTAATTGGATAGAGAACATCAGAGACGAAACCATTGGAGGATCCAATGATAGATGTGCTTCGATAGACATCCTGATGATATATTATTGGAGCTCACTGATGATCTTATCACTGCAATTGTTGAGAGCACCTATCCAATGTTTAAGAATGCAACCGATGATCCCAGTTATTTGAAGAATATGGTTATACTAGCCACAACATTGGAGGCGGTTGAGTCTATCTGAGTAGATGACTTTTTTAACGTGACTCGTGGTCAAACATACTTGAGCTCTGATAGTACGTGGAAATTATAATGATTTTTTGTCCGATCTCTGCATTCCCGAGTTTTTGAATACTATGAGATGTTTTAGAGTGTCGAACTATGAGTTGAATTATATGATAGGAACCCCAGTCATGCTATTGTGGAACATTGACCATTATTTGGGGTTGTGCAATGGTACGAGATTGGCTCTCACAAAAGGTCTCAACTCATGTGCTTGAATGTAAGATATTGACTGGATCTAATGAAAGAGAGAATGTGTTGATACATCGGATGACTAACACCTTTTGAATTTATAGTACCTTTTAAATTTTAGCGGATACAGTTTTTTTCTAATGATTTTTTATGCCATAACAATTAATAAGAGTCAGAATAAGTTTTTTATCACATGTTGACATATTCTTGAAGAAGTCGATGTTCAATCACTACAGTTGAATGTAACTGGTTCACGTGTGACTAATGAAAAAGACTTAAAAAAATTAGTTTGTAGGGAGAATAATGTGCCTACAAAGTACAAAAAATATTGTCTACAAGAAATTGTTTAATAATATATAATATTTTTAATTTTATTCACATAGGAATATAATAATAAAATTGAATAAATAACCTTAATCTATGCCGCCCTAACTAGTTTTATATACAAACACACAAGGACGGATCTACACTAGGGCAAGCCTAGGCAATTGCCTAGCTCAGCCTTTTGTGCTAACTACACATAGTTAATATGAGTTAATTAAAATTTTATATTTAGTATATGGAAAAATATTAATACAAGATTTTATTTCAGAATTTTAAGTAATTCTACAAAATAACATAATTGTTTTTATTTAAAATGATACACCTTACCAGTCAGACGATATTATATTAGAACATTTTTAGTACTTATACAATATAATAAGATTGATAGATAAATTTATTATTTTTTAATTATAATTGATAAATATTTAAATCTTGATAGAGATCAGTTAGATATAATTATTTTAATTTACATATACAATATGAATGTCAAATTATACCTTGTCAAAATTTAAGTTATCATATATATAAAAAAAAATGATAATATATACAGTTATATTTACAATTTATGTTACCCAAGCGTTTAAACTTGAAAGTTCTGGATAAAGATCCATATTTATATGGACTATTTCGAATCCTTTGAAATTAACATATAGAGTTACAAAGCGTTGAAAATTAACAATAAAAAGCTCTACATTTATATATAAAAAGATAATATATAAGGAAATCTTTATAAAATAACATGAACAAACATAATGACGTTTAAGCCTTTTTAAGTTAATAAATTATATTTCAAAATGACTTATTTATTTCCTATTACACAAAAAATGAAGGAAAAATGATTGTAAGATATTTTTTTGTATACTTCTTAATATTAATAAAAATACAAAATAAAATAACCAAAATAAAATAACCAGACCTCATTCTCAATTTTATTTTTTAGCATCAAGTCAAAGGCAAATTGAATAGGGAACCTCTCAACACTCCATTGTTCCAACGATTTATTTAATTGTTAATATAAGTACTTTGTGCAATATTGTTTAAAAAATTTTTGAACTATTTCTTGCCTTGGGTCATAAAAATGTCTTAATCTGCCGCTGCAAACACACTCCATTCACTTGTTAGAATATGCTACGGTCCCGTTACGGAACTATTTCGTTGAGGTTTGTAACCGTTAGATCAACTAGCTCTCACGGTTACATGATGATCTAACGGTTACAAATCTTAGCGGAATTGTTCCGAGTAACGTGACCTTAATATTTCCCTTTTTTTAACTTATTTGTTCACGAATCCAACGGAGTTGAGTTGGTAAAACAACTATATTGGATTAATGATTTTATGTATATTTGATTGATTGCACAAATAGTTACGACCCATCATATCAATTCTATACACAAATCTAGAGCATGGCATTGGAGAGTGTAGGGTGAATCATAAAAGGAATGCTTGCTTTGCTGGCCAATGAAACCTCGAAACACAGCCATACCCACCTGAAATTTAGCATACCTTTTCATATGCCTTTCCCTCTGTAAACGTGATGATGATGATAATGACCACCAGTGACCCCTTGGTAACGTTGTCAAATCAATTGAATTTTTAACACAAAAAATACAACATACGGATCTCACCTTTTATCAAACTTTTTTGGTCCCAACAAATGTTTGCCTCTTTTCCTTGGTTCATGTTTTATTTAAGTTTTTCACTGTAGATAGAGAGGCCAGGCCCTTCTTGTCCGAAAATTTGGTGTCGTTTTTTTGCTGCCCTGAGCCTGAAGACAAAAAAAAACCTCTGCTTCCTAACCACGGTACCCTTCTTATCCTTAGCTTTTTAATCGGTGAAATTTGTTGCTTTCTTGAATTGTTTTATCATATGATTCTTGAATATGGTTAAGTTCGTTGTCCCATCAAATTTCTTATTTGTGTCTGGTCTGTTGGTGTTTATTGCAAAGCCACTTCGTAAAAGACACAAAGTTTCGACCTTTCGATTTTTTTTTTTTTTTTTTTTAGATGTGCATGAATAATAATGTTGTCCTGTTGATGTTTGAACAATTTTTAATGATATTTTTATCTGGAACATTTGTTATCTGGGCTAGTGGCGCGCTTATGTTGAGCGAAACTAGTTGTTGCAGTTGAAATCCCGGGTTTGTGTGTGTGATGAAGCTACCATGTTTCACAGTGATCGGATAGTTAATTGGGGCTCACACAACTATGTCGGTGGGTTTGCGTGAGTGTTGAGCTATTTCTTTGAGTCGAGACTTGTGATTTAGCTCGATTTGGCCGAGATTAAGTTTCCAAGGAAGTCGAGCTTGAGCATACATGTAATACCATTTTTGGGGGATCACATGTTAATCGCGCGACTTAATTACTTTATATTGCCTTCTATATAAAATTTTCTTAATTGTACTCTAGTGGTCGAGCTCCGGTAAATGGTAATGCTCCGCCAGCGTGCAATTTCTTATAAGTCAGCTCTTTGATGCATTGGTTCTGAGCCGGGCTCGTGTCTTGGTTGTGTATAGGTACATCTCTTTCATATTAGCAATCAGTAATTGTTGTTATTATTCGGGTTCTCAAGTTCTTAGTAGCATTTCGACTGGAACTTTTAGCTGTGTATGATGCTAAAAATACGACCTCATTTTGTAGTTGAGTTGCCATTAGCCTACTCATATTACTTCCCTTTTGGCGATAAGTATTTGTCATTGTTTGGGTCCTCAAGTTCTTAGTAGCTTTTTGACTGTAACCATAGCTGTATGATGCTAAAAACTTGACCTCGTTTGTAGTCATAACTGCATTGATGACATATATTGTGCCTGCACCTTTCGTTAAATACTTGATTCCTCTGCTTGGTCACAAAATTATGCTTATAGGCCACACTAGTTAAATTGGTGAAAATTTGGCGATGATGTGAAAACTTAGTATCAAGTAAAAGACATTGTGAGGCTACTTCTCGTGTGTAATTTCTGCTTGGTTGTTTAGGATAACTTCTAATGCACTAATTGTTCAATATCTTAGTAGATAACTCAGTGTTTCTTTTGAGTCACTCGGCTTATTCTGATGTTTTAGGCAAACCGGTTTTGGAA